CGTGCCTGTAATCCCAGCTAATTTTTTGTATTTTTAGTAGAGACGGGGTTTCACCATGTTGACCAGGATGGTCTCGATCTCTTGACCTCGTGATCCACCCGCCTCAGTCTCCCAAAGTGCTGGGATTACAGGCTTGAGCCACCACGCCCGGCCTAAAAATATATTTTTTTAAATCAGCCAGGCGTGCTGGCAGGCACCTGTAATCCCAGCTACTCGAGAGGCTGAAGCAGGAGAATCACTTGAACCTAGGAGGCAGATGTTGCAGTGAGCCAACATCAGCCACTTGCACTCCAGCCTGGGCGGTAGGAGTTCCTCCCAGGACTTGGAGATGTGGTAGACAGCATCAAGGACACTGCAGTCCTGCCAGAAGTCCCTCACTGCTGCCCGCACTCGCAGCCAGCAGGCAGAAGACCCTCCACAGGCAGCAGGCCTTGAAGAGGGCCGCTACATCCTGGTTCATGGTCTGGAAGAGGGCTGTGGTGATCTTGGTGGGTATTCTGTGCCCATGTGGTCCGAGAGGTCGTCCAGGTTCCCAAGGTAGCCTGGGGTGCTGTCCGGATAAGCAGCGCCTTGCAGGGAAGGTTGTGCTGGGAGCAGCGCCTCTCCACGCTGGGGCAAAAGTGCGTGAACCACTCCTGGAGGAGGCTCATGGTGACCCAGGCTTCTTATGCGAGTGCCACACCTCGGGCAAGTTGGGCTTGGAGGAAGCCTTGAGGGAACATGGGCTCTCTGAGGGGCACACCAGCAGGGGCTTCAGCTGGAAGTCACCAGCCGCATTGCCACGGAGCTTAAGGGCCAGGAGGTCTCAGATGGCTTTGACCCTGGGGGCCGCCTCATCTTCTACAGGAAAATGAATGTCCTGTAGGGCAGGCACTTCTAGAAGGAGCCGGGCTTATCCATATTGAGCACCAGCTGGGGTGTGTAGCCACCCTCCAGGATCACCCTGCACATTGGCGCTGGGTACCTGTGTGCCACCTTCAGGTCCGCACCTGCAGTTCAGCTGCTCACCCCCATGCTTCTCAGGCTGTGGCGCACCTTGAAGCCAGAACCACCCACGACTGGCTCCAAAGCTCTCGGGCTAGGTGCCCACGTCCTTGCCCTGCTCTGCTTGAGGTTCTCGAGCAGGCTGTGGGCTTTCTCCTGAACGAGCACCACACTGACAGGCACATGGCGCTGGCTCTGGTCCTCGATCCACACTCTCAGCAGCTGCTCTGTGTTCTCTATCACCACGCTGTGGATGCGTGTCAACTTGGTGGCTGTCTGCAGCGTGGCCGCCTGGGAACTCGCCCAGATCTTGTTGTCATGAATGGTGGCCAAGGTGGAGATGTACAGCCCCAACACCTTCCTGATTCTACTGAGCTTCTCTCCAGCTTCAAAGCACCACAGCACCCCGAGCTTCACCTCCAGGTTGATGGCCTTGGGGTCTTCCTGGGCTCAAGCAATCCTCCTACCTCATTCTCCCAAGCAGCTAGGACTATGGGTGTGCAGCACCACACCCGGCTAAGTTATTTTGTAGAGATGAGATCTCACTATGTTGTCCAGGCTACTCTGGGTCCTCTTGCCTCGGCCTCCCACACCCAGCCACCAATGCCTATTTCTAAAGGGGCTGATCTGTGCTCCCCAGACCCAGGCAGCCCCATCCCACCCACTTAGGGTTCCTCACCCCCCAGAAGGGTGCCAAGGAGGAGACAGCTGGAGGGAGGACATTCTGGGTAGCAGAAACAGCACAGGCAAAGGTTAATGTGGCTGGGGTGATCTTGCAGGATTTCAACTCAGTAAGGTTCTGGATTTTATTATTATTGTTTTTTTTTGTTTGTTTGTTTGTTTGTTTTTTTGAGACAGAGTCTCTGTCACCCAGTCTGCAGTTCAGTGGTGCTATTTTGGCTCACTGCAGCCTCCCCTTCCCGGGTTCAAGTGATTCTCCCACCTCAGCCTCCCAAGTAACTGGAACTACAGAGCTGGCTATATATGTATTTATTTATTTGAGACAGGGTCTCCCTCTGTCACCAAGGTTGGAGTGCAGTGGCGCCATCTCAGCTGACTACAACCTCTGCTCCTCCGGAGTAGCTGGGACTATGGGACTACACGAGTGTGCCACCATGGCCGACTTTTTTTATTTTTTATTTTTATTGAAATAGAGTCTCACTCTGTCTCCAGGCTGGAATGCAGTGGCATGATCCTGGCTCACTGCAACCTTCACCTCCCAGGTTCTTTTTTTTTTTTTTTTTTTTTTTTTTTGAGACGGAGTTTTGCTCTTGTTACCCAGGCTGGAGTGCGATCTCGGCTCACCGCAACCTCTGCCTCCTGGGTTCAGGCAATTCTCCTTCCTCAGCCTCCTGAGTAGCTGGGATTACAGGCACGCGCCACCGTGCCCAGCCAATTTTTTGTAGTTTTTAGTAGAGACGGGGTTTCACCATGTTGACCAGGATGGTCTCGATCTCTTGACCTCGTGATCCACCCGCCTCGGCCTCCCAAAGTGCTGGGATTACAGGCGTGAGCCACCGCGCCCGGCCACCTCCCAGGTTCAAGTGATTCTGCTGCCTCAGCCTCTCCAGTAACTGGGATTACCCGCACGCGCCACCACACCCAGCTAATTTTTGTATTTTTAGTAGAGATGGGGGTTCACCATGTAGGCCAGGAATGTTTCCATCTCCTGAGCTCATGATCCTCCCGCCTCAGCCTCCCAAAGTGCTGGGATTACAGGCGTGAGCCACCGCGCCCGGCCTGACTTTTGTATTTTCAGTAGAGACTAGGTTTCAGCAAGTTGGTCAGGCTGGTCCACCCACCTATTCCTCCTAAAGTGCTGGGATTACAAGCATGAGCCACCCTGTCGGGTCAAGGATCTGGATTTTCATTCTGACTGAGCAAGGGTGTCCGGGGAACGCGCTCCCTGTTTCCATGCATGGAGGGACACGCACATAAGCGCGGAAGGAACAACGAGGACCCGGTTCCAGGCTGCGAAAATGCTGAACTTCCCAGAGCAGGGGAACAATTCAGGGCGAGCTGGGCGGGAAAGCGGACAAAGACCTGGAGTCGCCGAGGAGAGTCGAACTCAGGGCGGAGCCGCTACCCAGGAGCTTTCATTAGGGCCGCGGTGAGTGGATTAATTCGCTGTACAAATTAGGGCACTTGTAATATGCCAGGCATTGGGGAGACGGGGAAAAGGGCCCTACCCCGGCGGACCCCCAGTCCCGGTCCCCGCCCCGCCGCCGCCCGCCCCCTCACCGCACAGCCCCCCACCCCCCGCCCCGGCTTCCCGATGCCTCTGGGCGCTCGGCGCCGGGACTCACCTTGGGGACCTGCCTGGACTGGCCCAGCCGCGCGGAAGCGAAGACGAAACACTCGAGGACCGGAGCTTCTGGCCGCCCTGCAAGCTCCTTTCCGCGCTGTCCTCTCCACCCCCGCCCCTCAGGTGCGACCCCGACCCCACCCCACGTCCCAGAGCGGGCGGGGCTGTGAGGGCGGCTCAGGTGCGTCTGTTCTGCGGCAGCAGCCGGCGTGGGCGCAGGTGAAGGCCGCCCTGGTGGGCAATTACTGTGGCTTCAGGGTGCATCTCAACCATGGGTGGGTGTTCCTGAGCCCTGCGGCTGACCCACAGATGGGGAACAGTACCTTCTTGTTCCCAAGCCTGGTGCTATGTGTTTGTCACTGCAGAAAGGCCACAGGACATGAGATGTGAGAACCATGGGCGAGAAGAGGTAGTGTCTGACCCCCAGAAATAAAAGATCACTAGGCAGAGTTCATCTGAGATAAGGCCCAAGCCCAGAATCATGCAGAACAGCTGCAGAAGTCTGTCCCTCCAGGCCTGTGCCCTGGGCCACTCACCCATGCTCTGTAGCCCTCTCCTGGAACAAATGCAAGCTTCCCACCAACTCCCTTGTTGCCACTGACATAGGGCCTCCTAACGATGCAGCCGCCTGAGCCTCCTGTCTCAGTGTAGTTCCTGGAGGTGGGCAAGAGCACTGAGGATACCCCGGGACACCCACAGGCTATGCTCCCAGTTGTGCTCATTCTCCAGAAGGAATCAAGGCCAGCAGCAAAGTGACACAGAACCTGGGCCGGCTGCTCATGGCTCAGAACTCCCTCACCAGCCCTCTGGTCTCTGTACTCTTCACGGCTTCTCTGAGCTTTGGCTCTGACCTTTTGGAGGCCAGGCCTTTCCCTGCCTCCCAAGGCAGCCCAGAGGTGCTCGTGGCCCCATCCTCTGCATCCTGGGGGACGCTGTGGAGTGGGAGGTTCCCCACAGGCCTGCAGCAGGCAGGCAACATCAGCCTCAGCCATATCCCCAAGAGCCACATGGCTAGCTAGTGCCACAGTGCTGTGGCGGAGCTTGGGCACCACACCAGGCTCAGGGGCACCAGCAGGCACACACTCAGACCAGAGATTCCTCCAGGCATTGTGCCTGGTAGCAGGCTGCAGTTCTGCCCAGGCCTCAGCAATACTGTCCACGGCAGTCATGACAGTATAGCTGCCCCAGAACTCCCATGCAGAGGGCCAGTCCTCATCAGCAGTCTCCTGGACCAGCTGGCTGGTGTGCGGCGCAGGTTGTGGGCCTTGAAGGCAGTGTTGATGCCCTGGTTCATGGGCTGAATTAGGGCTGAGGTGTTCTTGGGCAAGAACTCAACGTACACATGGGCTGAAAGGCCACGCAGATGGGCAGGATGGTAGGGCGCACCATCCAGAAGCAGCAGGGCATGATGTGGGAGGCCACAGTGAGCACAGTAGGTCTCCATGGCAGGGCAGAAGCATCCTGGAAGACGCTGGGAGTCAACCAGTCATTGCGATTGGAGCACCAAGGCACAGGGAGGCTGGCCTTGGGGCAGCCCTTGAGGGCCTGAGGAATCTCTGAGGTGTACACTAGCAGAGGCTTTAGCTTGAAGTTGCTGGCTACATTGCCACCAAGCAGTAGGGTCAGATGGGCCTTAGAGGCCTTGGACCCAGGCACAGTCACCCCTTCCAATGCCAGCAGCAAGCGCTTGGGCATCCATTTCCTGAACATTCCCGTCTCATCCACATTGAAGACTAGGTGTGGTGAGTAGCAGACCTCCTCCAGGATGATACGTAACACCAAGGGATACTGGGCAGCAGCCTGGGTGTCAGCAATGGCTGGCTCATCCATCAGCAGCCATTACTGGCCCCAAAGCTCTCAGCCTGGGCACCATCGCCCTGCTCTTGCTGTAGCTGTACAAACAGCCAGCACGCCTCGTCCTGGATGAGCATGTGCTGACAGGTAAGTTTTGTTGCTTTTGCTCCCCAATCCACAGGCTCAACAGGCGTTCCATGTGGCCCATCACCACACCCCAGCAGCAGGTCAGCTGCACGGCACTTAACTGGAGCGGCTGCAGGAATTAGCCCGGATCTTGTCCTTGTTGACACGGATTGAGGCAACAGTGGAGGGGACCAGCCCTAGGGCCCTGTCAATCCACGTCAATTTCTCACTCTCTTCAAACCTCCACAGCACCTCCAACTTCACGTGCAGGGCAATGGAGTTCTGATCTCACTTGGCATGGTGATGGAGGCCAGTCTCACCAAAGGGTGTCTTTCCTGACACTTGCGGGTAGGGGTCTGTCTTCATTCCTCCCCTCAAACCATGTACCTTGATGAGCTCTCTTCCTCCTGCTCAGCCCTAGCAGATACCACTGTGCCTACAATGGCAGCCTCTTGCCCTCTCTTGCCATGCTGCCTCTGCCTGTAAGGAGGAGACAGACACATGAGCATTAATCTATGAGCACATGCTGGCCTTCCCACTCCCTGACACAGAGCACCCAAACCTGCTGACCACTGTCCCAGCAGCATGCCCAGCCCCTTCTTTGTCTTCTGGAAAGTGAGGAACAATGCCCACTCACTTCTGGGAAGTGAGGAACAATGCACACTCACTTCCCAGCCTTCCGTGTAGCTAGAGGGCAGTGTCACTTGGTTTTGGCCTATCAAAACAAGAGAGAGGTCTGCTGAGGGACTTCTCTCTCTTCTACCAGCAACGGGGGGATATAGGAATTGCTCTGGTCAACAACTGCCTGAGGCTGGCACACAGGTGGTAAAGAATTTACCAAGACAGGAATGAGTTCAGAAAGGTAGATTTATTAGAGAAAAAGGGGATATATGTTGCAAGGGAGCGGCGGGCAACACAGAAGAGGAAGACCTTTCTGCCAAAAGGCAAGGGCTGGAGGGAGGTTTTACAGGGCGTGCTGCTTGGGTGAATACTGGCAAACAGGATTCCTGGTGCAGCTGGGCCGTGAGCTGAGTGCTGGTAATAGGATGCTTGGTCACTAGTGAGCCATTTGTGGTTGACACCATTTCTCTGAACATTCTCTGCCCTTTACTTCTGTTACTGTTCCTGCCAACTTTCTCTTCTTTTTCTTTTTCTTTTTTTTTTGAGATGGAGTTTCACTCTTGTTGCCCAGGCTGGAATGCAATGGCATGATCTCAGCTCACCACAACCTCAGCCTCCCGAGTAGCTGGGGATTATAGGCATGCACTATCATGCCCGGCTAATTTTGTATTTTTAGTAGAGATGGGGTTTCTCCATGTTGGTCAGGCTGGTCTCAAACTCCCGACCTCAGGTGATCCGCCCACCTCAGCCTCCCAAAGTGCTGGGATTACAGGCATGAGCCACTGCGTCCGGCCTATTTTCCAATTTTCTTGTAACTCCTTAGGGCTCCACATTTCCCTCTGACAAAACAACTATGACAAATCTAAAAAAGTGAGATATGTGGTGCATTTTTTTTTTTTTTTTTTGAGACAGTCTCACTCTGTTGCCAGGCTGGAGTGCAGTGGTACGATCTCAGCTCACTGCAACCTCTGCCTCCAGGGTTCAAGCAATTTTCCTGCCTCAGCTTCCCAAGTAGCTGGGAATACGGGCATGTGCCTCCACACCGAGCTAATTTTTGTATTGTTAGTAGAGACATGGTTCCACCATGTTGACCAGGATGGTCTCGATCTCTTGACCTTGTGATCCTCCCACCTCGGCCTCTCAAAGTGCTGGGATGACAGGCGTGAGCCACCACACCCAGCCAATGCATATTTGATGAAAGCTAGTTTCATAGGTCTGAGAGGGTCTAGGGCTGGTTATGTGGTTTGTCTGAAGAAAAGACGTATCAGCAAGGGGCCCAAGTATAAACAGTATTATCGGATGCGATGTTGAAGACTGTACAGTGATCACCTTCTGGCTGCCAAGTTGTGCCTAAAACCCATGGGTCAGAGACACTGGGCTGTCCTTAAAAGGGGAGCCCCATGAAGAAGCCTTTACGGTTGCTCAAGAAGGTTGTGTTATGAGGCCTGTGCATGCATAAGGACTGGCTAAGCATGCTAGGTTGGAAGTAACATTGCAGATATTGAAAAATCAGAGTTTCGCTGGGGGTGGTGGCTCACGTCTGTAATCCTAGGACTTTGGAGGCTGAAGCAGGCAGATCACCTGAGGTCAGGAATTCAAGACCAGCCTGGCCAACATGGTGAAACCACACCTCTACTGAAAATACAAAAATTAGCTAGATGTGGTGGAGGGCACCTGTAATCCCAGCTACTCGGGAGGCTGAGGCAGGAGAATTGCTTGAACCCAGGAAGCAGAGGTTGCAATGGGCTGAAATCATGCCACTGTACTCCAGCCTTGGGGACAGAGCAAGACTCCATCTCAAAAAAAAATTTTTTTTTAAAAGAACACTACTTTGGAGTTTATCATTATGTCCCTTCCAAGTAAGGGGATAGGGCAGCTTGTTAGGACCAGGAAAGAGTACGTGAAAACATTTTTCCCCAGGGTGCATACTAAGGGGGATGTGGCCAGGCATGGTGGCTCACACTTATAATCCCAGCACTTTGGGAGGGCAAGGCAGGCAGAACACTTGAAGTTCGACAGCAGCTTGTAGATTTTGATTCTAAGTGACCATCAAGACCAGGCTTGCGGGGGTTGTGACTAACAAATGTAATAGGAGATTTGAGGTCACAGAGGCAGTCTGTGAGTCTGAGGTCAGGAGTTTGAGACCAGCCTGGCCAACATGGCGAAACCCATTTCTACTAAAAATACAGAAATTAGCTGGGTGACTGCAGTCTCAGCTACTCGCAAGGCTGAGGCAGGAGAATCACTTGAACCCAGGAGGCAGAGGTTGCAGTGAGCCGAGATTGCACCACTGCACTCCAGCCTGGGCAAAAGAGCAGGACTCTACCTCAAAAAAAAAAAAAGTTGAGGGAGGTGAAGCATCCCTGCTGTGGCCTGGCCTGGCCTGGCATATATGCTGGCGAGGAGGATTGAGGACCAAAAGGTAGGACCTAAAAAACTACTTAGGGCTAGATAAGTAGCTCCTGTGTAAATTAAAAACTCAATCTTATTCCCTGCCAGAGTTAGGGTTACTGGATGGCCTGGATGCCTTCTGGACCCCACCAGTCATCTCTTTCTGCCTTCTGAGTTCCCTAAGTTTCTCAGAGTCAAAGAACAGAGTTAGGGGCATTTGTGGTTGCCATTCTCCCAAACTGGCTCACACACTGGGGTTGCTGGTTGTGTGATGACCCTCCGCACAAAGGAAAGAGGGGCAGTCCTGTTTCCAGTGTCCTGCTTGTTTCCAGTGAGGACAGGGTCACTAAGGACCAGAATGTGGTTGGGGAAGCTGTGGGCATTTCCAGCTCATTTGCCCGGCTGATTGTAGCGATAGCACATAGTGGGCTCCTTAGTGGCTGTTAGGCTCCACCCTGACGGCTGACCTGGGGCCCTTGGGATGGGCAGAGAATTTGCAATGGCAGCAGCCGTGTAGTGAACCTGCCACTTATCTCTTTCTTGATCTTTTCTATCTCATTCACACTGCAATTTTTCCTCTTTATTAAAGACTTTGAAGGCCGTGTCCAGCAAAGTGGGGAATGGAATTTGTGGTTCTTGGTCTAGTGTTTGGAGTTTGTGTCTAATATCTAGAGAAGCCCGGCTAATAAAATGAACAGTCAAAATACCGAGGACTTCTCGGCTCTCAGGGTCCATATTAGTATATTTTCTCACAGCTTCAGCCAACCTGGAGTAAAATAGAGCTGGGTTTTCATTTGGCCCCTGTATTACCTCTCTTAGTTTGGCATAGGTGACTGGTTTTATGACAGCCTTCTTCGTGCCTTCAATTAAACAAGTAATATATGATTACAGCATTCCCTGCTAGTGTTTCCCTCTCTGTAGCCCCATCTAGGATCAGCATTAGGAACTCCCGTTCTCCCCAGGCCAGACCCCTAAGGGTTCCAGGCATGAACCTCATCTGCCCATCACTGAGCTACAGACCAAAGGCAGGACTTTTCCTCATGAGTACAACAGGTGGTAAAGATCATATAAATGTCCTGCCAAGTGATATTAAATAAAATGGTAAGTCCTTTCAGTTTTCTTATGAAATGGGAAGGTCTTGGCTACAGGAGACAAAAGCTTAGCTTCTATCTGAGAGAGGTCAGACATTGGGAAAGGAAAATGGACTCTGGTAGTTCCTAGATGCACATTTGCCATTTCTCAGAGCAGCAGGACCTTGTCTGGACCTAACGTGGGATCATAAGTGGCCCCCAACCTGAAGGGGACAAGAGTCCCTGAAAAGGAGGTGGAACTGGAAAATGATATCCAAGGTTGAGATGACAAGGAGGTGAGGAACAAGGAACAGATGGAGTAGGTACGGTTGAACATGAAGGTGATATGTGCAGGGTGGCCTCAACCAGTCCAGCTGCTTGGGGAAAACAGAAAGGGTAAAGAAAGGGTTATTGTCAGAAGAGTCAGTGGGGCTAGAGAATTTAGCCAAGCACATTGGATAGGTTTGGCAGAGACTGGGATCCAGAGAGACAGTCATAAATTCCTGGACTTAAAGAACTTCAGGGCCAGGCAAGGTAGCTCATGCCTGTAATCCCAGCACTCTGGGAGGCCGAGGTGGGTGGATCACGTGGTCAGGAGTTCAAGACCAGCCTGGCCAACATGGTGAAACCCCATCTCTACTAAAAATACAAAAATTAGCTGGCTGTAGTGTCATGCGCCTCTAATCCCAGCTACTCAGGAAGCTAAGGTAGGAGCTAAGGTAGGAAAATCACCTGAACCCAGGAGGCAGAGGTTGTAGTGAGCTGAGATTGTGCCCCTGCACTCCAATCTGGGTGATAGAGTGTCTTAAAAAAAAAAAAAAAAGAACTTCAGACCATTTATAGGAGTTGTGACAGAAAAGGCCAAGCTGTAACATAGTATCGGGGACAAGGGTCTCATTCAGAGACCAGAATTTCTGACCCAGAAGTTTGTAAAGCAGGCAAGCCACATTGCTTAGGAAAATTAAGCATTTCTTTTTGAGACTTCGGAGATCAAATTTGTTCCAATGTTTTATTTTTATTTTATTTTATAGACAGAGTCTCACCACTGTCACCCAGGCTGGAGTGCAGTGGCATGATCTTGGCTCACTGCAACCTCCGCCTCCTGGGTGCAAGCGATTCTCCTACCTCAGCCTCCAAAATAGCTGGGACTACAGGTGCGTGCCACCACACCTGGCCAATTCTTTTTGTTTGTTAGTTTGTTTTAGTAAAGACAGGGTTTCACCGTGTTAGCCAGGATGGTCTCAATCTGCTGACCTTGTGATCCACCCACCTTGGCCTCCCAAAGTGCTGGGATTACAGGCGTGGGTCACCGTGCCCGGACCTCCAATGTTTTCAAATGCAACCCAGAGGCAAGTATGAGGGACTAGACAGGGTCTGTCCAATTGTGTGACTGGGAAACCAAGCCGCTTGGGACTAGTTGAACCAGTTTCCACTTGGGGCATCCTACCAAGGAAGAGTGCTCCACTCACATCTGCTGAAGGACTCTGAGGTGCACTTTTCTAAAGGGGCGTCCTGCCTATTAGAAAAAGCCTCCCAGAGCTAGGGTGCCTTACCCAGGGATGACCACTGGGGTGAGCAGTCCCAGGTCAGTCCAGGCACGTATTACACTGAGTGCTTGGCCCAAGGTCTGAGGGGAAGAGGTTGAGGGAAGATTCGCTGTTCTGGTGCTGTTTGGGATCACCTGGATTAAAACATCTGGAGCAGGATGGCTGGCTCTTCAGTGGAGAATTTAGAGTGAGAAGGTCTAAGTCACTCAAAACTTATGTGGTTTCACCCTAGATGAGCTGCCATTGCTAACTGCACCACATGTAGAGTTCTGGAACTCTTGACCAGAGAAGGATAGCGGAGAGTCCTTCTCCCTTCCAGGCAAGGCAGCCAGCTCTGTTGACCCCCTGGCCTTCAGGCAACACCAGGGAGCGGCAGCCTGGCCAGACATCATCAATCACCAGAGGGGCACCGGAAGCTGGCTGCTGGAAGGCTGCAAAAGGAAAGTAAACTTAGGTCCCTCACCAGAGCAAGCAGTGGTGGTTAGATACCTCTGAATGGACACCTTTCAGTTTCACCAGAGTGTAGTCCTGGCCAGAGACCTTCAGTTATCTCCACACACTTTCAGACTGTCCACCGAGGGTCTTGAGTAGGAACGGAGAGGGGAAAGAGTCCCCCATAGAGACAGTCCCCATGTGGGCCACCAAAACATCATGATCAGTGACTGCCTGAGGCTGGCACGCAGGTGGTAAGAGAATTTACCAAGACAGTAATGAGTTTAGAAAGGCAGCTTTACTAGAGAAAAGGGAGAGATAACATTGCAAGGCAGCAGCAGGCAATACAGAGAGGGAAGGCTGTCTGCCAAGAGGCAGTTGCCTGAGGGAAGTTTTATAAGGCCCTGCTGCTTGGGCTCAATGCTTGCAGACATGATGCCTGGGTGCAGGTGAGCCATTTGCAGCTGACCCCATTTCTCTGAACATTTGCTCCCATGCATCCGTTTCTGTTCCTGCCAGCTAAACCCATGTTTCCATTTTCTTTTTACTCCTTAGGGCTCCACAGTAATCTCTTAAAACCACAGAGGGAGCCAAGAGAATCAAAAGATCCTGACCTACCTCCCAGGCAAGATGAGGTGAACTAACCGTCTCCACACTTCTCACTTGGAGATAGCAAATGTCATTGTGGGAAGCTGAATAAGGTCACCTAAACATGTCCGTATCCTAATCCCAGGAAACTATGAGTAAATTACCCTACATGGCAAAAGGAACTTTGTAAATTAATCTCGAGATACGGAAATTATCCTGAGTTATTCCAGCGGCCCCTAATTATAATCACAGAGGTACTTAGGAAAGGAGGCAGAGGGGCAGGGCCAGGTGACTCACCTGTAATCCCAGCACTTTGGGAGGCTGAGGCAGGTGGATCACGAGGTCAAGAGATCAAGACCATCCTGGCCAACATGGTGAAACCCTGTCTCTACTAAAAGTACAAAAATTAGCTGGGCATGGTGGCGAATGCCTGTAGTCCCAGCTACTCAGGAGACTGAGGCAGGAGAATCGCTTGAACCCAGGAAGCGGAGGTTGCAGTGAGCCGAAATTGCACCACTGCATTCCAGCCTGGGGGACAGAATGAGATTCTGCCACCAAACCTACATGGCTAGTAGAGACTGAATGAACACTGAAATAAAAACACAAAGTCAGATACAAAACTGCTTAGTCAGCCGTGAGCTACAAGGTGATACACTGGACAGAAAGCACTTGCAACCTATCAGCCTGCACAAGGTAGCATCTAACTGAACAGCATCTGGACTCCTAAGTTTTCCTAACACTTTCATAAGTTTTTCTAACGGTTCTGCCTCTGACTCTCCCTGTCTCTCTTCACACTGTCATCTTTCTCGAAGTCTTTGAAATCTGTCAATCCATCCCACCGTATCTCTGATTTCTGTCCCTTTTCTTTCTTGCCTCTGTCCCTCTCCCTTCCTGTCTGCCTCGAGTCTGGATATCTGCACTTCTTGTCTCTGAACCCATTCTGCGTTTCCCTCTTTGTGTCTCTTTCATCTACAACCCTTTCTGATCTGCCTCTCTCTTGCTAACTGTTCTGACACCTGTTTCCCCAGAACCCTCTGATCCACTCAGCCCTCTTATAACTTGGGCCCGTATGTCTACATTTGTTCACTCATTTTCACTGTCTCTGCTCGTGTCGAGTCTCTGGCCCTCCCAGTCTGTGGGTCTAGATCTGTCTCTCTCTCTCCCTCTCTCTCTCTCTCTCCCTCTCTCTGTCTCTCTCTCTCCCTTCCTCCCTCTCCTCTCTGTCCTTCGTTTCTCCTTGCCCTTGGCTCTCTGGTCTGTTTCTGTCTTTCTTCGCTGTTTCTATCGATCGGCATCTCTGCCCCAGTATCCCTCCCCACCTCCTCATCCCACATGCCCCATTGCTTTTCCAACATGCCCCCTTGCATGCCCGCCGCATCTCTGGGTTGCCCAGGAGATGTCGGGTCCCTGGGTTGCCATGGAGACGTTCAGAACCCGCCCTTCACCCAAGATCACACAGGAACGTCACCGCGCCACGCGCGCATCTACACACGAAGGACCCTGCCGACTACATCTCCTGTAAAGTATGGGTCCAAGCCTTTCTCCATTTTGTGGTCTAGGAAGTAGCAGAGGAGGAGGAGGCCCCTTCCTGCAGGGCGTTGCCATGGAGACGTGGGGCGACAGAGTTCTAATGAGGGCCGTGATTGGTGCAGAACCCTGCTAATCTCAGGAAGGACCGTAGAGAATTGAGGAAAACGTGGTGGGGGACATGCGCGATCTGGAAGGCTGTACTGCCGTCTGTGTCCCCGAGAAGCTTGCACACGTCAACGGATTCAAGGAGGGGAGCACGGGAAGAAGCGGCCAGGAGTGTGACCTGATCATTGCGACCACCGCTACCCCCAGGGAACGGGAGGAGAGGGTGTAGAAACGGAGGCGAGGGTGGGGGAAGGGCAAGGAGGCGCTTGAGCTGGTGCGCGGAGCATCCTGGGAGACGTAGTCCAGCGGGGAGGGGGAAGTCGAAGACTGCGCGTGCTCAGGAGCGCGGAGCGGCCAGCTGAGCGCAGAGGTGAGGGCGGGGTCCTCTCCACCGGGAGGGCTAGGGTGGGGACCGGGGCTGTGGCTGCAGACTCAGGGATTTCGGCTGCCCCGCGAGACCGGGAGCGGGGGAAGGAATCCGGGCACTCCCTGCGGGGGAGCCCAGGGCCTGAGCGCGAGGCTTATCAATCACTCCTCGTTGCCACGACGACAGGTTTTGGGAGCCCCGCCCCCGGTTGCCTAGGCGTCTCCAGGAAGTACCTTGGCACCCTGGAGCGGAAGTTGCCGCCTGGACTTCTGGGAAGTGTATTTCGGGACCATCCCTAGATACCTGCCGTTTTGGCTAAGACCCAAGTTTCTGCCAGGGTTTCTGGTTCACTTGGCACATTGAAGAGTAGAAGCTTAGCCCCCAGGATCAGGCGGCCCTCGAAATCGATGCTACCCACGGGGGGAATGATTCTGCGGCGCCACCCCATTCATAAACGCAGATACCTTCACAAAGCCCCAGCTGCAGAAGGAGCAGCTTGAGCAGGAAGGTCAGCCCCACTTGCAAATGGGGAAACAAGTTCACAAAGGCACAGTGACCTGAAAATGGGCGGAATCAGAATCTCGGGACTTCCTTGCAGGCTCCTGTTCCAGTGGTCTTGGCGCCTTTGTGGCCTCCCACCCCCACCCCTTGCGAAGCTCCTCCATCCCCTTCCAACCCCACCTAAGTCAGGAAGCTAAGGAGATGGGCATTGCGTGGTGTGATAAATTGGGCTCAGAAGATGGGACTGAGTGGATAGAGGGTGTACCTGGGGGCTGAGCCACACGACTGCATAGGTTGAGATGGGGGATTAAGTGGAGCGAGGCTTCCCTCTGGGAGGGGAATGATGGTGGGCCCAAGTGAGGAGCCAAATCTAAGTAGATGAGCGAGTAGACCGTGAGGTAAGGGCTGGTGATGGGTGGGGGGAGAGGGCAGCAGTGATGCTGATGCCCAGGCTATAGGTGTATAGGTGTCATCCAGCTGGTAAAAGACAGCTTCAGGGCAGGAATGAGGTTGCACATATAGAAGAAAGGAAGTATATAGGGGAGAGAAGTGTCTTCTAGACCTGTGGGCCAGGATGGGAACAAACCTATGAGTCCCAGCACTTTCAGAGGTCAAGGCAAGAGGATCACCTGCTTAAGCCTAGGAGTTCAAGAACAGCCTGGGCAACATAGTAAGATCCCATCCCTACAAAAAAATTAAGAAATTAGCTGGACATCGTGGCACATCGCTGTTGTCTCAGCTATTTGGGAGGCTTAAGTGGGAGAATCTCTGGAACCTGGGAGGTCAAAGCCACAGTGACAATGATCTTGCCACTGCACTTCAGCCTGGGCAAAAGAGTGAGACCCTGTCTCAAAAAAAAAAAAAAAAAAAAGGCCTGTATTTGGAGCAGGAAGACTATCAGAGACTTTGCACAGGCCTAAGTGGAGAGAAGACCAGGAATACAGGAGGCAAAGGGAGGGCTTTCAGCCACACAAGTCTGTGGGCTGTGACTGGCCTTTCTTTGCCTCAGTTTCCTCATCTGCCTTCCACATAGGGTAAGTCTGAGGATCAAATAGTACAGCACAGACTAGGTAGTGAAACTCACTGTCTACCCTTCTTGCAACAGCCTCATACTATTTCTTCACCAGGGGCAGACACTGGCCTCAGATACCTGACCTGGTACCCTCTATGAGGCCTGCGGTGCTGGGCTCCCCAGACCGAGCACCCCCAGAAGATGAGGGGCCTGTCATGGTGAAGCTGGAGGACTCTGAGGAGGAGGGTGAGGCTGCCCCATGGGACCCAGGCCCTGAAGCTGCACGCCTGCGCTTCCGGTGCTTCCGCTATGAGGAGGCCACAGGGCCCCAAGAGGCCCTGGCCCAGCTCCGAGAGCTGTGTCGCCAGTGGCTGCAGCCAGAGGTACGCTCCAAGGAGCAGATGCTGGAATTGTTGGTGCTGGAGCAGTTCTTGGGTGCACTGCCCCCTGAGATCCAGGCCCGTGTGCAGGGGCAGCAGCCAGGCAGCCCCGAGGAGGCTGCTGCCCTGGTAGATGGGCTGTGCCGGGAGCCGGGCGGACCTCGAAGATGGGTGAGTGACCATAAGTGGGGTTCAGGACTGGAGCATGGTCCAACTCTGCCTCACCCTGGGTGCCACCATGCTTGGCCAGACACACATCCTCCCTTGTGGTACAGAAGTGGCCACCTGCAACAGAGCCCTGTGCAAGTTTGCCCAGGGCGGAAGGATTCCAGGGCCAGCCTCCCAAGCCCATTCCTTCATCACCTGTAGTCACATGGACACAAGAGCTGCAGGCTAGGGGAAGATGGGGAAGGTACTGGAAGGCCTTGGGTGTCAGAAGCAGGAGAAGGACTGCAGGTGGTCCCTTCGTTCCTTGCTCGGGGCCCAGGGAAGTTAGGTCCTTGGAGGACCTAGTCAGTAGGTATTTACAAGGCAGGCCTCTGGGATCCTACAGTGGGATGGGCACCCACATACCCCAGGTTAAGGCCAGCCCCACTCTCTGGTTGGACCTCTGATGGTGGGGGCACCTCCCCAGGTCACAGTCCAGGTGCAGGGCCTGGAGGTCCTATCAGAGAAGATGGAGCCCTCCAGTTTCCAGCCCCTACCTCAAACACAGCCGCAAACTCCAGAGTCTGAGCCTGAAACACCTCCTGGGACTATGAAGGAATCACCACTGGGCCTGCAGTTGAAAGAGGAGCCAGAGGTTACAGAGGACTCAGGTGAGGGCATGCAATACGGGCAGTGCCTAAGGTCTGGTTGAGTGGGCGGAGAGCCTGGCCTGAGCAATCAGTCAGAAGTTCGCTGGGCCAGGTTTGTTACAAATGGAATGGTTTCCATGTGCCAGCAGCCCCCACATTCTACCCAGTCAGGTCTCACCTCCAACCTAGCCAGTGCTGTCACTACCCCTCGCACTCCAAGCCTGACTGCCACAACCCTGTAACCACGACCCCCCGGGAATGGAGCAGGCTGTTGGGGTTTCCCAGTACAGACAGCATGTGGTTTTCAGTCCCCAAGGAGATCCATTAGGCAATATCTGCTTGTCACTGGAGAATAGACAGCAGGCCAAGGTACAGGTAGAAGCTGCTTAGCGAGAACCTTGCAGTGTTAGGGGTATGGCCCCCATTCAGCTCCCAGGCAGGGCACCTGAACTAGCTGCTCTCACCCTGCTTTTCCCATGCGGACCTTTGTACAATACCTCTGACCCCTGCTGTCCATCTCGTCCCACAGTTCACAGGGCTACAGGGGCATAGACCTAAGCCCATCTCATCCCACTGCAGCTCAGCCTCTGGTCTTCCAGGGTATTCTGCTTCACCCAGCCCCTAAGCTGGGCCCTCAGCTGCCCTGCACTGCCTTCCCCAACCCAAGCCCACAACCAGGAATCCCGCCTACCTGAATGCCAAAACCTGGCATACCACTAAGGGCAGTGGGTGGAAGCTCACTCAGGCTCCCTGAAACTCGCTTAGGCTTTCGTCTCTAGATTTCCTGGAGTCTGGGCCGCTAGCTGCCACCCAGGAGTCTGTACCCACCCTCCTGCCTGAGGAGGCCCAGGTAAGTCCTGGCCAGGTCCATATTCTCCTCCTTTCTCTTGGAGTCACTGGGTGGGGTCAGGTAGGTCCCTCCCTGAGCCCAGCCAGGCACAGATGAGCAGTGACCACTGTGATTTCAGGGATGTGGGACGGTGCTGGACCAGGTCTTTCCCCACACCAAGACTGTGCCTGAGGGTCCCTCATGGAGGGAGCACCCCAGGGCCCTGTGGCATGAGGAAGCTGGGGGCATCTTCTCCCCAGGTAAGTGAGACGGGGTGTGGTAAGCCCTCCGCATGGACAGCACTATCTCCGCCGACCCCGCTCCTGGCCCTACTCAGGCAGCCCTCTTCCTCCAGCATCCCCAAGTTGCCCCATTCCTTAGAGCATCCCCCATAAGCTTTAACCTACTCTAGCATCTTCTGCCCTTAAAAAAAGCCACCCACCACTGATCCCATAGCCCGCCTACTTTCTACTCCCACCTCAGTAAAACCTTTTACAAGTGAGGCCTGTAATTCCCCATACCCACATTCTCTCCCAGTCCTGGCATCCTAGATGGTCTCCTGGGCTTGCATCCTGCTGGTCAGACATCAGGACAGATGTTGGGTTGGGACCTGACAAGGACAGCAGGTTAGTGGACAGAGCAAGTGGACAGGAGGGACCCTGACACAGGATAGGGATCCTGCCCAATCATCCAGGCATTACAGGCCAGAGGCCCGCTGTCACCTACCTCTCAGCCACCACCTTTGTCTGGCGTCATCCTGGCTCCCCCTACACCCCATCTTCTCTTCTGTTCCTTCCTGTTCTTCAGACCCAGGATCTCCTCTTTCTCAGTTCACACTCTTGTTTTGGTGGAGCTTTCTGGATGTTCTGGTGTGGGAGATAAAATTCTGAGATGTCCATATCTGAAAGACACTGTCTAAGCCTCAACATTAGATTGAAGTTTGGCTGGAAGAATTCTTTTTACTTATTCAGTCACAGACCTTTTTTATCATTATTGTTGGTGAGCCTTTTCAGTTTAAAATTCACATCTCTCAGTTCTGGGTAACTGCCTTGAAATGTTTATTTCCTTCCCTTCTATTGTTCTATTCCCTGTTTCTGGGATGCCTGTTACTTGCCTAATGGCCTCTGGGATGGGTCCTTTAATGTTCTTTTCACTCCAAGTTTCCATCCCTTTGTCTTTCTACTCTATTTTCCAGGAAATTTTCTCACTTGTATGTTTCAGCCCTTCTGTTACAATTTTCATTTCTGGTAGTTTTTTGTTTTTTTTTTCCTTAGGGTCTCACTGTTTTACACAGGCTAGAGCACAGTGGTGCCATCATAGCTCACTGTAACCTCAAACTCCTGGGCTCAAGTGATCCTCCCACCTCAGCCTCCCAAGTAACTGGGACTACAAGGCATTTTTTTATTTTTTGGTAGAAGCAGGTGCTCACTATGTTGCCAGGGCTGGTCTTGAATTCCTGCCTCAAGTGATCTTCCCATCTTCTCTCCTCCCACAGTGCTAGGATTACAGGCATGAGGTACTGCGTCTAGCCTCTTCTAGCATATTTTTGATTTCCAAGAGTGTTTTCATTCTCTGAATGCTCATTTTTTTAGTTGCCACCTGTTGTTCTTTCATTTGTAATGTCTTTTCCTTATTTCTCTGAGAACAGCAGTAACTTTTTAAAAAAAGTTTTCTTAAAAAAACAGCGTGGTCTCTCTTCTCTTCTAGCTGTTGGCTTATATGCAAGAGAGGGGGACCACAGATCCGGCTGGCAGCTCTGGGCAGGTAGATGAGGGGTTTATTGGCTGTGACAACAAACCAGGGCTGGAAGGGACATGGGGGAAGCCCACTCCCCAAGGAGGCCCTTTTGTTAGGGGATGTGAGCAAGCAGCTTGAGTATGAGTGGATACTGCAGACAGATCCATAGGGCAATGTGGCTGGCCAGTTTGGGGGCAGTCTCCACTGTGAGCATGTTTAGGTCCATCCTCTGAATCCTACAAGAAGGTACCTTTAGCCTCCTGCCAGCATCCTTGGGAGACAGGTTGACATCTCAGCATCCGGTGGGACTATTTACATAATTCCCCTGACTTACTCAGTAGTTTCCCACCCTTAACATAGCCTTCTGCAAGGATGGAAGAAATCCAGGAGTCAGAGTCACAGCAGTACATACTGTTTGCTCAGAATTCTGTGCAGAGCCTACAGCAGCAGCTCTGCCCAGCATCAGCTTCTGAAACAGCCTCTCCATCCTGGTTGGTGCCCTGCCCATTCACCTGCATGGGCAGAGGTACCGGGTACCTCCAACTCCTGATTTTTTAGAACCTTCTTAGCCAGGTGCAGTGGCTCGTGCCTGTAACCTCAGCACTTTGGGAGGCCTTGGCGGTTGGACTGCTTGAGTCCAAGAGTTCGAGACCATCCTGGGCAACATGGCAAAACTGTGTCTCAATGAAAAAATAATACAAAAAATTAGCATGGTGGCACATACCTGTAGTCCCAGCTACTTGCAAGGCTGAGGTGGGAGAATCACCCAAGCCACGGAAGTCAAGGCTGCAGTGAGCTGAGATCGTGCCACTGCACTCCAGCCTGGGCAACAGGAATGAGACCCAGTCTCAAAAAAAAAAAAAAAAAAAAAAAAAAAAAACTTGGTATAAATCTGTGCCTTTTCTTTGCAGCCAGAGGGTTTTATCTATCTATTTATTTATGATATGGAGTCTTGCTTTATTTAAAGAGACAGGGTTTTGCTCTGTCACCCAGGCTGGTCTTGAACTCCTGACCTCACGTGATCCTCCTGCTTCAGTTTTCCAAGTAGCTGCAATTACAGGCTCAAGCCACCATACCTGGCTCAGAGAGGTCTTTTTATGTCTTCATCAGGACAATATTCTGAATAGCTAATACACTCATGTGTTAGGAAATTCAAAAGGCACAAGACCGTATACAGTGAAATGCCTCTTCCCTGCCTGTACCACACAATCCTACTCTCTAACAGCCAACATTCCTTCTTTCTTATGTGTCTTTCTAAAAAGACTCTATACATAGAGAAGTAAACACATTTACAGACTCATGTTTATCACCTCCCCACCCCCCTTTTTTTTTTGAGATGGAGTTTCACTCTTGTTGTCCATGCTGGAATGCATGCAATGGCATGATCTTGGCTCACCACAACCTCCGCTTCCTGGGTTCAAGCGATTCTCCTGCCTCAGCCTACCAAGTAGCTGGGATTACAGCCATGCGCCACCATGCCCAGCTAATTTTGTATTTTTAGTAGAGACAGGGTTTCTCCATGTTGGTCAGGCTGGTCTCGAACTCCTGACCTCAGGTTATCCGCCCACCTTGGCCTCCCAAAGTGCTGGGATTACAGGCGTGAGCCACCATGCCCAGCTCATTTCTCTAAAAAACACACATGGGCTGGGTGTGGTGGTTCATGCCTGTAATCCCAACACTTTGGGAGGCCGAGGAGGGTGGATTATCTGAGGTTAGGAGTTTTAGACTAGCTTGGCCAACATGGTGAAACCCCATCTCTGCTAAAAATATAAACAATTAGCCAGGCGTGGTGGTGTGCGCCTGTAATCCCAACTACTTGGGAGGCTGAGGCAGCAGAATAGCTTGAACCTGGGAGGCGGAGGTTGCAGCGAACCACTTCATCATGGGTGACAGAGCAAGACTCCATCTAAAAAAAAAAAAGGATGTTTAATCTCCACCTTGTTCCAAATGTGGCATCTTTTTGTGCATCTTCCAACTTCAATACACAGCAGCAAGTACTCTACCTCTTTGGACTGTTACATAGAACCCCGCTGTGGCTCACTGTAGACACACCATTGAAAACCTTGTATATAGGTCATTTAGCACAAGGAGGAATACAACTATTGGAGAAATACCTAAAAGTGGAATTACTTGGTTAAAGTGTGGGACATTTGCTGTTTTGATGGATTCTGCCACACTGTCTTCCCATTTATATTCACCAGCAATACATAGGAACACTTGAGTCTCCGCAGTGAGGGTATGGAAATGGCAGATGATTTAAGCCCAAAAGTGCATTTTTTCTTACTAGGAGGAGATGCAGTACATTTTATGGGATATAAGCATTAGTTACATTTCCTGTCCTGTTCACATCCTTTGCATGTACCTATTAGGTTATTGGTCTTTCTTGATTTATTGTAGCTCTTTACTTAGGAGGTTAATTAGCCCTTTGCCTTTGGAGAGTTTTTTAGTTTGCCATTTGCCCTTTTTTGTTTTTTTATTATTGTGTTTTTTTTGTTTTTTTTTTTTTTTTCCCTGAAATGGAGTTTCGCTCGTTACCCAGGCTGGAGTGCAATAGCACTATCTCGGCTCACCGCAACCTCCACCTCCTGGGTTCAGGCAATTCTCCTGCCTCAGCCTCCTGAGCAGCTGAGATTACAGGCACGTGCCACCATGCCCAGCTGATTTTTTGTATTTTTAGTAGAGACAGGGTTTCACCATGTTGACCAGGATGGTCTCGATCTCTTGACCTCGTGATCCCCCCGCCTCGGCCTCCCAAAGTGCTGGGATTACAGGTGTGAGCCACCACGCCCGGCTATTATTTTTATTTATATTATTTATTTATTTATTTATTTTGCCATTTGTCTTTTGACTCTGATGTGGTTTTTGCTGATTTCTTTTGATGTATTCTAATTTATCTGACTTTTCTTTGGCGGCCTGTGGATTTTCTTTCACCCACTAAAAGCCCTCACTGCTCTTTCAGTCTTCTTGATTGAACCTCCTCCAGGCTTCCCACCTTCTCCAGGCCCTGATTCTCAGTTGCAGTTGCTAATCCCTCCTCCTTCACCCAGCCTCTGATGCTGGAGTCCTCACAGTATGGCTGGGACCCACTTCTCTCCTCTGTAGACACCCATCCTGTGTTGATCACTTGCAGGCCCAGGGTTCTGTGTGCCATGTGTATGCCCCAGAGCCCTTGCTCACGTTTCCCCACAGCATGCGTGAAGTTTGTGTTCCTCAGATGGCCCACAGACATCGCAAGGAAGGCACATCCAAACCCCAGACCACCATCTGGGAGCCTGCACTCCCTTTCTGTTGGCTCCACCTCCAGCCTCCCTGAGACCCACCCACTTCCTTGCATTTGCAGAGATCATCACTTTCCGCCTAGACAGTGCCCCCATGCTTGCCCTGCAGCCCTTCCAGTAACGATTTTTTGCTACTTAAATTAGACCTGGAAAGCTTTTTCACACAGCCCAGTCTTCCTCCTCCTGCTGGGTTCTGTCTCTTTGTCACCTCCTCAGAGAAGTCTAATCCCTACCCCTGTCTTTGTCACTTCCATCTACCTCATTGATCAGTTTTAGGTCCCTGTAGTTCTGTGTCCCCAGGGCTGAAATGGGTCTGGGCGCGGTGGGCATTCTGTCATGAATGAGTGGTCCCTTTGTGCATGCAGGGTTTGCGCTGCAGCTGGACAGCGTCTCCTCAGGTCCAGGTAGTGTAAGCCCCCACCTCCACGTCCCCTGGGACCTCGGCATGGCTGGCCTTTCTGGCCAGATCCAATCACCCTCCTGCGAAGGTGGCTTTGCACATGCGCTTGTGCTTCCCAGCGATCTGAGAGGTGAGCAGGACCCCACGGACGAGGATCCCTGCCGGGGTGTGGGCCCAGCTCTGGTCACCACCCGCTGGCGCACCCCCAGGGGCCGGAGCCGGGGCCGCCCCAGCACTGGGGGCGGGGCGGTTAGGGGCGGCCGTTGCGATGTGTGTGGCAAGGTGTTTAGCCAACGCAGCAACCTGCTGAGGCACCAGAAGATCCACACGGGTGAGCGACCATTCGTGTGCAGTGAGTGCGGCCGCAGCTTCAGCCGCAGCTCGCACCTGCTGCGCCACCAGCTTACGCACACGGAGGAGCGGCCGTTCGTGTGTGGCGACTGTGGCCAGGGCTTCGTGCGCAGTGCGCGCCTGGAAGAGCATCGGCGCGTGCACACGGGCGAACAGCCTTTCCGTTGCACTGAGTGCGGCCAGAGCTTCCGGCAGCGCTCCAACCTGCTGCAGCACCAGCGCATCCACGGCGACCCCCCGGGCCCTGGCGCTACGCCCCCGGCCCCTGCTGGTGTGCTCGAGCCTCCCGGCCCCTTTCCGTGCAGCGAGTGCCGCGAGAGCTTTGCGAGGCGCGCCGTGCTGCTGGAGCACCAGGCCGTGCACACGGGCGACAAGTCGTTTGGCTGCGTTGAGTGCGGCGAGCGCTTTGGCCGCCGCTCAGTACTGCTGCAGCACCGGCGCGTGCACAGCGGCGAGCGGCCGTTCGCCTGTACAGAATGCGGCCAGAGCTTCCGGCAGCGCTCTAACCTCACGCAGCACCGGCGCATCCACACCGGGGAGAGGCCCTTCGCCTGCGCCGAGTGCGGCAAGGCCTTCCGCCAGCGGCCCACACTCACGCAGCACCTGCGCGTACACACGGGCGAGAAACCCTTTGCCTGCCCCGAGTGTGGCCAGCGCTTCAGCCAGCGCCTCAAGCTCACGCGTCATCAAAGGACACACACCGGCGAGAAGCCCTACCACTGCGGCGAGTGTGGCCTGGGCTTCACGCAGGTCTCGCGGCTCACGGAGCACCAGCGCATCCACACGGGTGAACGGCCCTTCGTCTGCCCTGAGTGCGGCCAGAGCTTTCGGCAGCACGCCAACCTCAACCAACATCGGCGCATCCACACAGGCGAACGGCCCTACGCGTGCCCTGAGTGTGGCAAGGCCTTCCGCCAGCGGCCCACACTCACACAGCATCTGCGCACCCACCGACGAGAGAAGCCCTTTGCCTGCCAGGAATGTGGCCGCCGCTTCCACCAGAGCACCAAGCTTATCCAGCACCAGCGCATCCACAGCACCGAGTAGCTCCAGCCGGGATGCACTGTGCCTGAGTGGTGGGAACACCTACTTCACCTGGTGGTTGCGAGGCTGGCGATTACATAAGTATAAGCAGGTCCACCCAGTTTATATTTATAAGGGCTTGGCCCCTGTAGGTGTTCAATAAACCATAGATGGAAACTGGGTATTCACCCACTCAGTGCCTCCCCAACTGTGCAGTCCTTCATTGCCCACCCCCAACCACACTGCCCACCCTCCAACCCCCACAGTGCTGGACTGATGTGCTCCCTCTGCAACCACGTGGTTCCTGTGAGGGTTCCCCTCCACAACACCCCCCTTCACCCCCACAGAGGTGGCTCCTAGCATCACCAACCCCCATGTGGGATGGCCCCTGTACCAAGCTTCTGGTTTACACTGAGGCAATTGACCAGCAGCAGGTGGGGCAGAACTGCCCTGGGCAGTCCAGCCTCAGCTCTCCCTGGGCAATGAACCTCGGTTTCCCAAACACAGAGAGGAAGAAATGTTCTCTGTGAGCATCCACCAAGAGTCCATATGTGTGTAGCATGGTGGCATGCGTGATCCATCAGGGTCCAGTCAAGAGAACACAGCAGATGTTTTTAACAGAGCTGCTAACTAGGTGTTAGGGGATTGATGGGAGACTGAAAAGGTTGTTAGTCTGTCTTAGAAGCGGGAAGGTTCCTGAAGGAAGCAGCTAGACCCTTAGGACTAGAGGAACAAAGGGAAGCACTGCAACTTATAAGCTCCAACGAGTTTCCAGTGGAGCTGGAACTCAGGCCCCTGAGAAGAAGGGGACACTGCTGAGCTGGTCCTAGCGTGTCTTAGCTGGCAGGGACACCCTGTGGGCCTAGGACCCAGAGTTGTAAGGGAGTACTGCTCAGCTGGTCTGGAGGTCTCTGGTCTCAAAAGGGTGCCCCATAGGCCTAAGAGACTCATGAAGAGGGGGCACTGGTGTGGGTGTCTCTATGGGGCCCAGTGAGCCTGGTTCTGGGAGGTACATAAAAACTACTGCTCCTGAGAGGACCTGCTGTTGCCAGGTGGAAGAGGTGCTGCTACCCTGTTCTCTTCTCCCTTCCCAACCCGTTCCAGTTTGCCCCTAACAGAGCTGCAGGTGAAGAGGGATGTTTGTAAGATCTCTGCCCTGCACAGTGATGCCTAGGTGGGCAGGTCTGGAGCCCAGCCCTTGTCATCCCATGGAATTTTCCCTTGATACTAAGACAGGGGCCCCGAAGAGTTGGGAGAACACTCAGCCCTCAGGGAGGTTACCAGCCTCCCAAGACCACCAGTCCTCCTTGCTCCAAATCAGCGTTGCTGATTCCCACGACACTACCTCTCCCACCCCAGCTCAGCAGTCCAGTTACCCTCACCCTGGCAGCACTCTACTCCTTGCAGTGGTCATGAACATCGGTGGGAGCAGCCCCTGAAGAGCTGTACCCACAGGGACATTCAGCATCACACCCTTACAACTACAGGAACAAAGGGAAGCAGTAGGATCACAGCACTTCTTACAGCTGGGGGCCCAGGATCCCACTTTGATCTGCCAACCCCCAGGTTTGTGGGTGGTACTGTGCCTAAACTGTGATGCTTCCAACCTGCATGCTCCCCTCCCCATCTTGTCATGGCTAGTCCCTGGGCATGGACCAAGCAAACCCCCAGGAGAGGACCCAGACAGGCCAGATTCTCCCTAGCCAACCAAGATCATGTGATCCAGCAGGAGCAAACTGACACCTGGTAATCCAGATTCTGCCTTAGGATGTCTTTGTAAAACTCCTTTACACCTAGGAAACTACTTCCTAGGTTTAAAAACTGGAAGATTTTACCTGGAAATTCAGATTTTTTAGGACTTCCCTGTTCGTGTGTTTACAACCAGCAGGTGATGAGGGTGTGGGACGCTGCAGATGGAACCCCAGCCAGTCTGAGAAGCCAAGGCTGCAGGCTGTGGGCCACTTTCCCTGCCCTGTGGTAATCATTCCCATCACTAGAGTTGAAGGCTTCTCCCGCCCTGGCCCCATGCACATTAGAAGGTTTCAGTCAGCAGTGGATTCAGCAGCTTAGGTGAAAGTGGACAGATGCTGAAAGCGCAGGTTCAGCATACTGCAGGCTTCAGAACAGCGTCTCCAGGACCCAGTGCCATTGCCTATTTTGGCCTAGCCATCTTCCCCTTTCGTCCCATCGGCCAGGTCCTTCACACAGCACCCCCCCCACACACACAGCCCTCCAGTGCGTGACTTGGGTGCAGGTAACACAAGGTGAAAAGCAGTTTGAAAGAAGGGAGTCTATGTGCAGCAGGGTCCAGCTTCAGCCTTAAACCCCAGTCAAGGTCTCACTCTGGCTAGGTACCAGGCTAGCCTTGGCCCTGGACATTTCAAGGAACTGAGACTCGAGGCTTGTTGTCCAAGCTTCTTCCAGGGGTGCAGCCGGACAGACTTTCTCCTGCTGCTTCAAGTCACCCTAACCCACAAGACTTGTCTGCTTTCACCCTTGGGCGAGGATCTGCAGAATCAGAGGGGCGGCGCCTGGGCCCCTCTGCAGGCAAGTGCCACCACACCAAGCGCTCCCAGGCACGATGGTTTCCGTGGTGACGGCCGGAAGTCGCTAACCCGCAAGGTTCGGTTTCCTCCCGCCCTCCCAGACACACTGAGCTGTGATTGGACGGGAAGTTGACTCCCCGCCTTTATCCCCTTTTTCACATACCGGGTGAAGCGGGGAGGCCGCAGTGCGTCTCCACTGGAATTGGGGGCGCACTCCCAGAACGGCCCGGCTCCGCCCCCACACCGCGTTCCCCAAGTGTCCGCCCCGACAGGTTTTCCTCTACACCGCCTTAACCCTCCAGAGTGCTTACCACCACCTGGCACAATACATGTGTTGTTAGTTTACCTCAATCAGAATCTCCAGGAACAGGGATCTTTGGGTTTGCGATGGGACAATGAAGGTGCTCGACCTCGCACCCTCTGGGTAACGCCTCTAGTCTCACTCAGGGTCTCGCTGCGATCACCCTGCCTTTGTCTGTGACCTATGGGGTCGAAGGCTCTGACCCACGCGCGCCGCGCTCTGCACAAGCACAACATAGGATGAAGTGACCGCGAGCAAAACACCCCACGTCTGCCCCCCTCAAAGATGGCGGCTAACCCCACTTCCTGCCCGACCTCGCTAGAGTCGCCGGAAGTGACCCGCCGGGCAGCCGAAGCGTCATCTCCAAGAACGGAAATACCCGAGTCCAGCCGAAGGAGGCCGAACCCCAAACTCCATCGCTGAGCAACGCGAGTTTGCGGCGGCTGCGCAGGCGCACAACGCAGGCCGCGCGGGAAGAGCCAAAGCGGACAGGCGGCGGAAATATCCGAAGCGGCGGGGCGCCCGAGGCCGTTGCCGACCTCCGCGCTAAAGCCGCTGCTGCCGCGGAAGCCGATCCTCCAGTACTCAGCCCCCGTCACCGCGGCTGCCGCGTCCTCCTCCCACCCCGAGCCGCAGCGCCCTCACGGACGGATCAGCTGAGCGGCCAAACGGCGCGGCCCGGGGAAACCCGAGTCCGCAACTGCAGCGAGGCCTGAGACCAGAGCGGGCGAGGGCAAGGAAGGAGCAGCCGGGGGCGATAGGGGCGGGGCCGGGCGGGCCCGAGAACAGCCGAGTTTGGCCGAGCGCTGCCGTTCGAGCCCGAGACTCCAGGCCAGGCCGGAGCCGGACTACGGGAGCCGAGGCGGGCCGCGCGGTGGGCGCGGAGCAGAGCAGAGCGGCGCGGCAGGCCGGGCGGGTGGCGAGAGCCGCGGAGGCCGCAGCGGCGGGTCCGAGGAGCAGAGGCGACGCGGGCGGCGGCGGGGGGCCGGGTGGCCGGGGTCCCGGGCCCCGCGGCGGCGGCAGCGGCGGCGGCGGCGGCAGGATGATCAAGCTGTTCTCGCTGAAGCAGCAGAAGAAGGAGGAGGAGTCGGCAGGCGGCACCAAGGGCAGCAGCAAGAAGGCGTCGGCGGCGCAGCTGCGGATCCAGAAGGGTAGGGGGTCAGGGGATGGGGTTGGAGCTGGAGGTCGGAGGTCAGGGCCTGAGGCTGCGTGATGTGGGAGTCAGGAGGGGATCATGCGGTCGCCGAGGGTCAGAGGTGGAGGGCCCCTAGTGTAGCGGGTCGGAGGTCAGGTCTTGAGGGTTGGGGTCATGCAGTCACGGGGAGGGGGTCAGAGATGGGGGCCCGGTATGTAGTGCTTTAGGATATTAGGAAGGCCTGGTGTCTGGTATGAGGGAATCGGAATCTCAGAGTCAGGCAGTGGAGTGGAGGAGCTGGGGACTCGAGAGTCTGGGGGCTAGACGGGAACTTGGGTTTGGGGTGACAGGAGAAGAAGAGAGGGATAGTAGAGGCCAGGGGTTGGGGATATGAGTGGGAGAGGATTTCGTGTATTATGTTGGGGTCTCTGGGAATCTCAAGAGTTAGGGTTAGGGTTAGGTTGGAGGACCCGAGACTCATGGGCCTCATAATTACAGCAGTTTTGGGTATGGGGTGACAGGTGGCAGAGAGGTTAGTGACTACCAGGGATTGGAGACAGGGGTGAGGAGAAATTTAGCCTATTGTGCTGTGAACCTCGGAGTCAGAGGGAGTGGGCCAGGCTGATCAGGGTTTGGGGACTTGAGAGTGTGGGGGTCAGATGGGAAGCTGGGTCTGAGAGAGAGGAGGAAGGACAGTGAGGACTGAGGGTTGGTGAGAGTAGGCAGGATCCTTGACTTTGGGTGGACAGGTAGGAACATCTTGGATGGGGAGCCTGGGATTTAGGGTGGTCAGAGGATGTTTGGAGTGGGAACATTTGGGAGCTATGGATGCAGAAAATTGGGTGTTTACCCTGGGCCAGGAGTTGGGACACGCAGACACAACTGAACATGCACGTTTGGGGTATGCTGTGTATCCACAAGAGCCAAACGGGAGAAGGGAGAGGGCTGGAGGTGTGGAGCACAGCCCAGGACAGAGGCTTGGGGGTCCAGGAGGAGGCCATGGGGGCTCTGCTAACAACACCTGCCCTAAGTGTCCTGCTGTCTCTCTCTCTCTCTCTTTTTCCCCCCTCTTTCTTTCCCCCCTCCCTCTTTCTTTCCCCCACTCTCTGCTGCCCAAACCCAGACATAAACGAGCTGAACCTGCCCAAGACGTGTGATATCAGCTTCTCAGATCCAGATGACCTCCTCAACTTCAAGCTGGTCATCTGTCCTGATGAGGTGAGGGTGCATATGGCTGGATTCCCAGGAGCAGATCAAGAGTGTCCCCACTGAGAAGAGGGAGACATGTTCTGTCTGTCAGGCCCCACAGGATGGAACCCTAAAATCTTCTTCTCCCCCTTTCCTTCCCAGGGCTTCTACAAGAGTGGGAAGTTTGTGTTCAGTTTTAAGGTGAGTCCCAGGTGGGCAGGGATGGCTCCCTGGACTGAGGAGGCAGCAGCTGAGGCCCTTCCAGGCACCAATCCATCTCCCTTTTCTTTTCCTGGAGCCAGGTGGGCCAGGGTTACCCGCATGATCCCCCCAAGGTGAAGTGTGAGACAATGGTCTATCATCCAAACATTGACCTCGAAGGCAACGTCTGCCTCAACATCCTCAGGTGAGGGCACTGGCCCTCTACTGCCTTCCACAGCCCTGCCTGTCAGAGCCCCCTCATGGTCTTCTGGGCACTACATCAGTCTCTGTGCCTTCCCACCCCTTTGTTGTCTGGGGTTTCTTCATTTCCCAGTCATCTTCCTCATGACCTGACCTTGGTTTTCTCCCTGGCCTGGCCTGCTCCACACCCTCCCTCCCAATCTCTCACATCCTCACTCTCCTATGCCCTGGATCTGACCTGCCCAATACCAGAGGGGCCTATGGCAGCCTCCCACTCACCAAGCCCTGACCCTGATGCTCTCTGTCCACAGAGAGGACTGGAAGCCAGTCCTTACGATAAACTCCATAATTTATGGCCTGCAGTATCTCTTCTTGGTGAGTAGGAATAGGTGGTTGGGTCTGGGGAGATTGGTCTTCTGTCTCTCTGGCCTATTGACCCCACCTGTACTGGCCACAGGAGCCCAACCCCGAGGACCCGCTGAACAAGGAGGCCGCAGAGGTCCTGCAGAACAACCGGCGGCTGTTTGAGCAGAACGTGCAGCGTTCCATGCGGGGTGGCTACATCGGCTCCACCTACTTCGAGCGCTGCCTGAAATAGGGTTGGCGCATACCCACCCCCGCCATGGCCACAAGCCCTGGCGTCCCCTGCAAATATTTATTGGGGGCCATCGGCAGGGGGTTGGGGGGTAGCCGGTGGGGGAATTCCCTGCCTTGGCCTTGCCTCCCCTTCCTGCTACCTGCCCCTAGTTTGGTTTTTTTTTTGTTTTTTTTTTTTTTTTTACCACCATGTGATTAAGGTCGGCGCTGCCTCCCCCGACCCACTCAGCGATGGGAAATGAATTGGCTTGTCTAGCCCCCCTGCTGGGTGCTTATTCAGCCCCCACTCTGGGCTGTGGAGTGGGTGGGCAAGGGGCCTGGGTAGCTGGGCCCAGGCAACCCACCCTTCCACCTCTGGAGGTCCCACCAGGCTATTAAAGGGGAATATTACTGCATGGCCTCTGCTTCTTACTTCTGTGGGGTGGGAAGGGCAGTTGGGTCCACTGGGGCCTGCAAAGCTGGGGTGGTGGAACGTGTGGTAACAGGTGGCATTGGAGCACCCTACAACCGACTGCCCAGTGCCTGGCGTAGCTCTGGAGTTAGTGGGGATACCAGGCCTGAGCCTCGGGTTGGTTGGGATGAAGCCCACTCTAGGATGAGAAGCGTAGTCAGGATCCAGTGATCTCTGGCTTCCTAGCCAAGAGGCCAGCACAGTGGAAGGGACAAGCCATCTGTAGCTTTGCCCCTTTCTTGTATGGGTGGGCCCACCGAGGAGGAAAAGCCTCCTTCTATCTAAAACCTCAGGCAGAAGTCAGGGTCTTACGGATAAGCTGGGTCCTCAGGTGGAGACTGGGTGGAAATCGCCCAAAGGTGCACCACCTTCGCTTGAGTGCCCACCCTGGTACAGGCTTGGGTCACTCGGGCGGGAGTCGAACTTGAAACACCTTCCGACGCGCGGAGGAAACGGAAGCTGTTGCGCATGCGCTAGGACACCGGCCCCATCCAGGGCGAGTGCGCACGCGCGCTCTGGAAGCCTCCCAGCCTTCCGGGTGCGGGCGAGGCGTGTTACGTCACGTCGTTTAATCCGGAAACGGCGGCGGAGGCGACAGAACCGAGGGGCCTTAGTTAAGGGGTAAGCGGGGTATCCGAGAAAAAGAAGCGTGACCCGGAAGCGGAAGCGGGTCCCGGTCCCAACTCCGGTGAGTGGCCCCTGCTGGACCGTGAATCCCAGGCGGGCGTGCGGGCGGCAGCGTACGAGGCCTTCTACTCGCCCGGGTGTCTGGTGCCTCTCTTCTCCCTGGGAGCCTGTCTTCATCCTCGAGGTCTCTAACACCGCCTTGCCTCGGTGCCGGGCCCACTCACTCTCCGTCCTCGGTGTATACTGCAACCTATCCTCCATCATCCCACCCTCGGTGCGCTGGATGCCCCAGCGCCCCCAACCGTCTCCCTCAACATTCAGGGTCATTCACGTCCTTATGCCTTGTCCAAAGCTTCACAGACCCACATTCACCTGTTCTTGGTACTTAGGGTCTCCGCCTAGCCTGTCCTCTATCAGGACCCCCGCAATTGCCCTGTCCTTGGTGCCCAGGGTCCCAAAAACACTAGTGCGCCAACTGGCGTCGCCCTCCGCTCTCAGTCTATCAAGGACTCCAGGGCCTCACCCATGGGGCTAGAGAGGGAAGCTGAACTTGCAAGCCTTAACTTCTGTGGGAGCATGGCGATGGAGGAGGGTCTTGGGTCAGTACATGATGGGTAATTTTCAGCTCTACCTGTCACCCTTTATGTGCCCCGGGACAGTCCCAGTGTTCTCAACTGCTCCCTTTTGGCCCCTTATTCATGCCTCCAGTCTCCATTAGCCCCTTCCCATTTGGCAAAGTTCCCGTGACCCTCTTCTGCTATTTGCCCTCCTTCCGGGCCCCTTGCCCTACAGCTGGGCCTCACATCTGTCTCAGGCCTGCCAGTGGGCTCCTGCCACCATGGACCTGTTGTTCGGGCGCCGGAAGACACCAGAGGAGTTACTGCGGCAGAACCAGAGGGCCCTGAACCGTGCCATGCGGGAGCTGGACCGCGAGCGACAGAAGCTAGAGACTCAGGAGAAGAAAATCATTGCAGACATTAAGAAGATGGCCAAGCAGGGCCAGATGGTGAGTGTGGGTGGTCAGGGGCAAGTTGCTGTCAGTCAGGCACGTCTGTAACAGCAGTGAACAAAACAGACCAGACACCCAAACACAGGTGCTTTCAGCAAAACGAGTGCAGTGCAAGGTCAGCAGGGCTACCCTAGTTTGGAGGTCTGGAAGGCTGCCTACAAGGAATTGGTATAAGAACTAAGGCTTGAGTGATGAGAGTGAGCCTACAGATCTGGGAAAGGAATGTGTCAAGCAGACAGACAGCAAATGTAGAAAGAGAGCCTCGGCAAAATGGGAGTTGACAGGTGAGCTTCAGAGTTGGGCATGGGCCAGACAATTCAGAATTGTGGGCCACAGTGGGAGCTGAGTTGAAAGGTTAGGGATTAAGGTTGTGGGTGAGGTGGCTCACACCTGTAATCCCAGCACTTTGGGAGGCTGAAGTGGGCTGATCACCTGACATCAGAAGTTTGAGAATGACCTGGCCAACATGGTGAAACGCGTCTCTACTGAAAATACAAAAATTAGACGGGCGTGGTGGCTCATGCCTGTAATCTCAGCTCCTTGAAAGGCTGAGGCAGGATAATTGCTTGAACCTGGGAGGCGGAGGTTACAGTGAGCCAATATTGCACCATTGCACTCTAGCCTGGGTGACAGAGCAAGACTCTGTCTCAATTTAAAAAAAAAAGGTAACTATAACGATAATCTAGCTGGACGCGGTGGCTCACACATGTAATCCCAGCATTTTGGGAGGCTGAAGTAGGTGGATCATCTGAGGTCAGGAGTTCGAGACTAGCCTTGCCAACATGGTGATACCCTGCTCTACCAAAAATTAGCCAGGCATGGTAGTGCATGCCTATAATCCCAGCTACTCGAGAGGCTGAGGCAGAATTGCTTGATCCTGGGAGGCAGAGGTCACAGTGAGCCAACATTGTGCCACTGCACTCCAGCCTAGGTGACAGAGCAAGACTCCATCTCAGAAAAAAAAAGGATAAGCTATGGCCAAGAGGCTGGTAAGAGCCAGAACCAGTAGGGAGAGCATGAAGGAACAGAGTCTTTGATGGGTGAGGAGTTTGGCCTGAACAGGCAGAGAAAATACCATTTACTGGGATGGGCAAGCAATGTTTGGAGAGAAAATCAAAAGCTGAGCCTCAGATTGGTTTGTATGTGGTTCTGGATAGTTTGAGGTATGGGTTTGTATTAGGTGGAGGAAGCAGCAGATTCTTTGTCTAGGCTGGGAATAAAAATTGAGGAATGGCTGTTATAAGTCCAAAGAATGACTGAAAACATGGAAGCAAAAGGACCCCTAAGGAGTGAGCCTGGGGCCTTTCTTTTACCATTTACAGATCAAGATAAGTGAGGAGGACCTTACAAAGGAGCCCAGGAAGTTGGTGACCCAAGAGGCAGAGTTAGGTCAGGAGGGACCAGTAACCATTGGGTTAGCCACAGTCTGGAGACTTCAATGAGAATGGTGGAATTGCAAATGGGGGGGAGCAACCATTTGCATTAGTTGCAACTCCAACTAATGGAGTGTCAAGAAATATAATATAATCCCATTCCTGTGTCCTTGATAATCTTGTCTGCTCTGCAGGATGCTGTTCGCATCATGGCAAAAGACTTGGTGCGCACCCGGCGCTATGTGCGCAAGTTTGTATTGATGCGGGCCAACATTCAGGCTGTGTCCCTCAAGATCCAGACACTCAAGTCCAACAACTCAATGGCACAAGCCATGAAGGGTGTCACCAAGGCCATGGGCACCATGAACAGACAGGTGCGCTTTTCCCAGTCCCCCTTCCCACTCCCTCTGACCCATACAGACCACACTCACACTCCTCCCACTTCCAGCTGAAATTGCCCCAGATCCAGAAGATCATGATGGAGTTTGAGCGGCAGGCAGAGATCATGGATATGAAGGAGGAGATGATGAATGATGCCATTGATGATGCCATGGGTGATGAGGAAGATGAAGAGGAGAGGTATGGAGAAAAACTGGGAGGGCAAAGATGTTTGTCTGGCCCTCATGGAATAATGCTTAGCCCTCATTGAGTTCTATCTCTTCCCTAGTGATGCTGTTGTGTCCCAGGTCCTGGATGAGCTGGGACTTAGCCTGACAGATGAGCTGTCAAGTGAGTGCTCCAAATCCTGGGCCCCATTTCCCACCCAGTGCCCAGCCACAGCCCCAAGCCCTCCCTCTCCCTGCATTACTCCCCTCCACTGCATTTCCCACTCAGCCTGAATCCCCCTGCTCTAACCCCGGCTTTCTCTGCAGACCTTCCCTCAACTGGGGGCTCCCTCAGTGTGGCTGCTGGTGGGAAAAAAGCAGAGGCCACAGCCTCAGCCCTAGCTGATGCTGATGCAGACCTGGAGGAGCGGCTTAAGAACCTGAGGAGAGACTGAATTCCCCCTGCCACTCCCTGGATGACCAGTGGATGCCCAGGATCTTTTACCATAACTCCTCTGTAATAAAGGATATAGGACACTAGTCTCTAAGCCCATGTGACTTTTGGCTGGAGTCCCTGGGAGGACAGGTATCACTAAAGCAAGAGGCATTTGGCACAAGGCTAAGGGGTTGGGGTTTGGGGCAGGGGTGGACAAGCAAAGTCCACCTGAGATTTTCAGGGGTTCAGAGCTTAAGGTGAGCTGTGGGTCCTGCTGTCACTTCTCCCAAGATAGTGGACACCCCAAACAGCCTGAGAGTATCTCTAGAGTCCAGGCGTCCCATCTTCCAGGCTGTAGTGCCCAAAACTATTTTGGTTCAGTGATGTGAGGACAGTCCAAACCAACCAATAGAGGCAAGGGGGCAGCCTTGGGATTCACAGGGCTCAACTATAGCTAAATCAGGGATGAATGACGTTAAGTGGCCTTAGCAAAGAGGAACAGGAACAAAACCACATCTGGAAGGTGTCAGTTCACTATGGTACCATCCAAGGATGACAAACAGCTATAGCACCAAAGCTTAGCAACCACTCAGTAGAGCAGCTGTGCCACACGGGGGGCTAAGACTACACAGGGCTGCAGGTTGGCCCACACCTAGCCGTTATCCCAGAGTACCCCACAAACCTCTAGTGTGTACAACCTTTGCTGTGTGTGACCCTCCCCACAGCCAGAAAGGGCCAGGAGGCACACTCTTCCCCACACCCTAGGCATCCATACAGATGGGGGTTCAGGTAGGCTGGGGACAAGACCACCCCCACCAGGGCCACCAGTGCTTGATAAAGCTGATTAGTAGATACAGTCAATAAACCAAGCCCCAGGACCACAGCCCCCCAACCAGCCAAGGCCTGAGGAACTGGTGAAGTTTTTATTAAATCCACAGAAGTAAAAACCATATCGTGAGGAACTGGGGGATGGGGCCACCAAGGAGTGGGAGTCAGGCCACCAGGGGAGCGGGGATGGGGTGACAGGACAGAGAAGAGAGCCAAGCTGGGCTGGCAATGGGGGCTGCAGCCTCAGGGACCATCACCAGGGCCACCAGACAGCTCCTGGGCACTCAGGCCAGCACCAGGCAGGCTCATCGGAGGGGGCTCCACCAGCACAGCAGAGAACTTGGTGTCGCCGAAGGCCTCGTTCATGCGCGTCTCGAAGAAGCGCTGCAGGCCGATGATGGACTGCACGTCTGCCTTGTCCTAGGCCAAGCAGGAATATACTGGATGAATGCGTCCTAGTTCTCTCCTTCACAACGCCCCCTGCCCACAGCCCCTCCATTCCACTGGCTCACCTCAGTTAACTTGTTGAATTGCTTGAACATTCGGCCCACATCCTGGGCAAACTCCTGTGGGGAGCTGTAGGGAGGTGACAACTTCTCCTGGAGACGGGCACGGATCAGGGTCAGATCCAGGGTGCCACCAGGCTGGTCCTGCAGGCAGAGA